CTTCGCTGCAGTCTTCTCTTGCACTACAAATTCCCTACATAAAAGGAGGCCACCCATGAAGACAGCTTAAGAAAGAGCATCTTGCCCTTAAGCACTTGGTATACCTTTACTTACCAAAATTCAGAACTTTATACCTTATGCTAAGGTATCTTGTCTGGTTGTTAAATAACTTAATACTTGTAACAGTGCAAAACTGGAAGTTTTTGGTTTACATTCCTATAGTGAAAGGATAGGGCTTGGGGACAAGTTGGGGAGGAGAAAATAATTACTTTGAGCATTTATTTTCTAGGCGATGTATGTGCACACCACACTGAAGCACCCTTTCAAAAGTTTAAGTGTGAGCCAAAGAGAAATATCAGATATTTTTCGTCCTTTGGTACTTTTACTCAAGAGTAGCTATTTGGAAAAGAACAGTTAAATGAGGGCAATACCTGTTCACATGGTTGCTGCTGCACATCACCTTCTTTCTTCTTTAATTTCTTCTCCAGCTCCTCAATTTTCCTTTGTATTTCATCCATCTCCTGAGCTATGGCCTGCATCTCCTCTGCGGAAGAAAAGCTTATATGGCACAACACATTTCACATGCCATCTGTGGCTAAAGCCTAAATTATGTTTAAAGGTGCTAAACATTCTGGTTTCTTTCCCTGTTTCACATTTACATGTAAAGCTGTCAGACATGTTACTTTCTCTACACCTCAGAGAGTTAAATAACTGTCCCAATAGAGAAGGAAAAGCAGCTGAAGTAACAGACAGTGTAGCCATAAAAGTTGGTCATAGAAACTCTCTAAGACTCAATGTGGAGTTTTAGAAAGCAGCATTCTTTATTGCAGCACCAGGTGCACACACAAATCATTTTGCAAAGGTGAGCCCACCCAATTGCAGCTACATATATTTAGCATACTCATGCATATTCATAGCTCTCCCAGGAACTAATTATAATATTTGCATTCTAATTACACATGCACTTTCTTGCTGAGTGAAGGTCTCTGGTGGTCACCGACAGTCTTCCTCAGCATGTTTACTGAATGACCTCAGTGCTTGTGCACACTTGCAAGGTCCTAGTGCTGAGTTAGCAGCTGGTACGTCCTTGCTTCTGTTCTGTTCCAGTCTCGCTCCACACTGGGCGCCACTCTGCTATGTTGAAGGCTGGCATCCTTGGTCTTATTTACTGTCTCTTTAGTTATCAGTGCCATGATGTTCCTTCCCCATCAGCCGAACATTCCTTTCTCTAAGTGTTAGCAAGTTCGAACAGTTTGCTGTATTCTACCGTGTTAATGACATACACACTATTGCTAGTTTAAACCTACAATTTATCAGCGTTACGCTGATAGCAGCGAGTCCAACTTTACAATTCCATCCCAGAACATTTTATGTCATCCCATTTGAAGCATACCTTCAGCTTTCTTTTTTGCTTTCTTTCTGTAGATTTCAGCTCGGATCTCCTCCAAGGAAAACTCTTCAACTCCAGCATAAACTTTGTCTTTACAGTACATCACCATCTCTTTCTTCTCTTGAGTATCCTGCTGATGATTTTGTACTCGCTGCAGTGGATCCTCCTCTTTCTCAGGTTTGCGAGCACTTAAAACCCCGTTTATGCTGGGTTCAATTTTGCAGGGAGTCCTGAAAACACACACTTATTACTTTATGCACCTCACTGTAAGACAGAAAAGCAAGCATAGGAGAGAAAACAGCTAATTTCAAAAGCTAGCTGTAAGATAGTGTGAAGACATTCTTTTCTGTTCATAGAAAAAACAAACGAAAAATGGAATGATGGCACTTAAAAGGCCAACTCAGAATTGTGTCATAAAAACAAACCCATAAATAAAAATCAAACCCAAACCAAAGTGTTAGTAAGACCCAGTCAAGAATAAGAAAAATTCTTCTGATCCTCTGAACTGCTGCGCACTCTGGAACAGGAGCTATGTTTATGTCAGTTCCATTTATTTGTGTGACTACACAGGCAACACATGGCAGAGAGTTAGAACTGGATGAGCTTTAAGGTCCCTTCCAACCCAAACCACTCTAGGATTCTATCATCCCATGACTTAAAAATTGAAGATCTTAAACTAGTCTAAGCCTGGCATTTTAGGTTAAGAAAAAAAGAGAAGATTTAAGATGCAATAAGGGAGGAATTTGCTCAAGCAGGATACTTGCATGCTGAGCCACAGAAATTAAGTGCCTCATTACAAAAACACAAACACACACTAAAAGCCCAAGACTGTACAGTGGAAGGAATTATTAGCAGTCAACTCCTTAGCTTGAAAGTGCTTTCTGGAAGTGCTACAGCAAATTTCAGGAGAGAAGAATCAGAATTTGTAGTTTTACAGATACCAGTAATCCAGATGGCTCCAACAATTACCTGTACTCAATGAAAGATGATCTAAACAGCTGACCTTAAAGATGTATTCAATGTGGTTTGGCTAAATACTTAGTTCAGAAGAAAACACAGTGCACAGTTCCAAGACATCCAGTTTGTTTTGCGTGTGAAGGGACTCACAATCCTAAACTATTGGTAAGATCGTGAAGCAAGCACGTGCTCCTAAGGGGTGGGTGTGTTTTAAAGCTTTTCGTGTGTGAGTGAGGGTTTATTACCAAGATCACTCCAGGGTCCTTTTTCCCAAATCTCTGATAACAACTGATGGCATGATTTGCATTATGTTTACAGCTTTAATTCAACATTTTCAGATTTGATTTGGTGACCATGGGGCATCATGAGTAAATGCATTCAAAAGCAGAAAAATAAGCTGCTTTTAAAGTTTCAGCTACATGGATAAAGCTACACGTAAACTCTTTGCTCAAGTCGCTTCCAGCTAATTTAGCACCATGCTCACAGTTCCCACCCACTCCTTCCTTTTCCCTGGTATAAAGGTGCTGCCTTCTGTAAGTAGTAATTCTTCATCTAAGACCAGCATGTCAAGAGATTCAATTCTGTGGCATCGCTGACTTTCATGAGTAAGAAAGAGTTATAGCTTAGGCAGAAACTTATTTTACATATTCTTAAACTGTATTATGGCATGCTCTTGGCCAGAGCTATTCTGCAGTCCACATGCAACATAGAAAACCCACACGAAAAAATCCATGCTGTTAGCCACCTTGCACTGTTCTTTGATTATATACAATGCAGAGGCATGAAAGCTGACTGTAATAGCAAACATTCTTTTCCATTTCTGTCTTAGGAAGAGCCTGTGTATTCTATAGCCATCAGCAGCCACAGAAAAAGGTGAGCAGATTTGAAAACAAGCTTTTTCCTCTGCTCTAACACAGAACAACCCCATCTCCTGGGATTTATCAGCATTTCAGTGAGCACTGCACAAGCAGGAAGGGAATTTCAGGCAAACCAGCACACTCGTCCATGACCTAAGCAATACTGTTGTCATGGAAACTTGGAGAGCTTGTTTCAGAATAAAACTCTAGATAGATGTGAGTGCAAAGTACAGAAAAACAGCAATACGCTTCTCTTGCTTTGGGGCTGCTTTCATAGCAAACAGCATCCTAAGAGAGGTAACAGTGTTTTCATGTAAACACACTGAGTTAAGCTATTAAACTAATCAGCATATATAAATATGATACAGGCTCCCACATAATGAGCAGCAATAGTCAAATCATGGAATCCCAGACTGGTTTGGGTTGGAAGGAAGCTTAAAGCTCCTCCAGCTCCAACCCCTGCCCCGGGCAGGGACACCTTCCACTAGAGCAGGTTATCCCAAGCCCCTGTGTCCAACCTGGCCTTGAACACTGCCAGGGATGGGGCAGCCACAGCTTCTCCGGGCACCCTGTGCCAGCGCCTCAGCACCCACACAGGGAAGAGCTTCTGCCTCCGAGCTCGTCTCAGTCTCCTCTCTGGCAGGTTCAAGCCACTCCCCTTGTCCTGTCCCTACAACCCTTGTCCAAAGCCCCTCTCCAGGTTTCCTGTTGCTGCTCTAAGGTGTTCCCTTCAGGAGCCTTCTCTTCTCCAGCTGCCCCAGCCCAGCTCTCTCAGCCTGGCTCCAGAGCAGAGCTGCTCCAGCCCTCGCAGCAGCTCCGGGGCTTCCTCTGGACTCGGTCCAACAGCTCCACGTCCCTCTTGTGATGTTGCCCCAGAGCTGGATCAGTACTGCGGGGGGGGGGGGGTCGACTGGGGGGGGGGGGGGGGGGGATCTCCCCACAGCACAGCAGAAGGGAAGAATCCCCTCCCTGACCTGCTGCTCACACTCTGGGGGTGCAGCCCAGAACATGGTGGGGTTCTGGGCTGTAAGCACCCACTGCCAGGTCATGGGGAGCTTCCCATATTCTTATGTATCCTCTACTGAAGCCTCTGCCATGAGGCTAAAGCACAAACCTTCCAGGTTGAAAGATTTTTAAATTCTTGTAGATCTAGAGGCTTGACCGCTTGGCAAAACAAGTCAGAAGTTTTCAAAGCAGCTTTGATAGTCTCAAATGCAATCCCCATTGCAAACTGAAGCAAAGACTCACATGACTTGCAGCTGAGCTGACTCTTCCACATAAGGGGTGAAACTGGGCAGTGGGTAGGACACTTCTGGACCAGAATTCACATTGCTGCGAGGACGCTGGAGAAGGAAAAGTCAATGTTAACAGCTGAAAGATTCATCTTTAGACTTCACATTCTTCTATACTCTGAATTTCCCTTTTCACAGGGGTTGGCCCGTTTGTAGGTTTTGTTATCTAAGAAAAATTAAACCTGATAGACTTTTCCAAGGTTAATTCTCCTCACAGACCGTCAGCTGAATACTAGCACCTAAAGAAGCAGGACACAGGCCTCCCACTTGTCCTCATCAGTACCTAGTTACTGTTTCTGAAGGAATGCTGGTCAAGCCGGGTATTCTGGTTGTACCTCTAGTCTTGTTTTCCAGAAATGCTATAGTCCTCGTTTTTCAGCTACGACTGCCCCAATTCTGTGACACTATTCCTTCTGCTGGCCACCAAGAACCTCCAGACTTCTCAGTTTTCCTCTCAGAGGCCATTCCAACACCACAAAACCCTCATAACTTCAAAGGTCCGTTATTTGAGAGAAGACAGATAGAATGTAGTGTGCCAACATGCTGCTCTCATCTGCCTGTTTAAAATTCCCCTAGGCCTTTAAGCAGAAGTTATGTGCTGGGGGTATTTCACAAACTGACTTTTCCCCACCAGTTTTCAAACTGTTCACTTGGCCATCTTCACACTGGCAGTAAAAGAGAAGCCTCTTTCCTCTGTGCAGCTTTCAGTATCTCAAAGCATTCACAAAAGGTTATTCTTTCACTGTAACAGAAGCCAGAATGAGTACCACGCTTCAGTGAAGGGGTATTAAACATCCTCAACTCTCTACTAGTTAGAGATCTATTTTATTTTTAATTAAATCTAACAAATTTCATTAAAGGAGGAATGGAGACAACTCTAAGGACAGACATTAAAAGAATATGGAAGAATTTGGGGACCAGAATGAATGTGTTCAGCAGCCCAACAAAAGGCAACTGATTAATAATTCCTCCACCTCATTCTTAGCTCAACTAAACCTGTGACTTACTGAACTTTCCTATTCACTTAATCAAATTGCTTTGTATCTGCTAGTAATTACTCCTAGAGTTCCAATGAATTTCGACCTATCTGCCTCCCTCCCTTCATCCTCATTTTTGTTTCTAAGCTTCACTTGTAACAACCTCTATGTTGAGAAGTCTTAAAACATTTTCCATCATCTGACTAGTTTCTGTTCTTCTGTAATCTGCAAAGAGCAGGAGAACACTGGGGGTTGTCTAAGAGCCTATGAAAGAAGTGATTTTATAGGATTCATTTCCTTCAGATTAACATCTTGGATCACGTCTCTAGAACAGCTTAAACACTTATAGCACAGCTGTTTCTTTTCACGTCTCCAGCACTAGCTTAAACCATTGAAACCTACTTTTGCCATCCTACTAGCAGGATAAATATTCCATTGATACAGTACTTCCTCAATTCCTTTGATCTCCACTCTTCTATTTTCCTTGCATGCACTTCAAAACAGACATGCAGAATGCTGTACCATGCCTTATTTTCATATGAAGAGGCAACAAGTTCTTCCCTTCAGGTTGTATTTTAGATACCAATTTAACTCTTGCTCTTCTTTCTTCCAGAATTCACTAGTGCCTGGCTTCTCTCCCTTTCTTTGGCTAGTGTTTTCCCTCTTACGTTTTTCCCTTTTCCTCTCTCCAAACAGTTTGGCAAACCATCCCTACCAATTACCTTTTGCTAGCAAGGATTATAATTTCTTGAATTAATAACTCTAGAGAAGTTTTTAAACTTACTCTAGCAAGATCAGCTTGCTAAGCTTGAATAGGTTACACATAGCAAGAGACTCTTCAGGACAAAGCTAGGAGGATCTGCAGTTACAAACAGACACAAACCCCAAGCAAGGAAGAAAAAAAGATAACTTTTGTCTCAGAGATCAGAAGTCATCAGCTTACACACACATTCCTCTTTTTTTGCTACTTTGAGACTCCTTACCCTGCCAGAGTTCCAAGGTCCTGCACTCAATTCATTCTCCTTGGCCCTCGGTGCTGGAGGTGCTGTCCATGGCTGTGGTGTAAGAGCAGGAATCTCGGGTCCAGAAGCTGAATTTTCATCAAACACAGCAAATCCTGGATTATTGGAAAGTTGCTGAGGAGCTGGAGTCTGGAAGCTTCTGGTTTGGTTTGTGGCTATAAGCAAAAAGATATATGCCAATTAACATTTAACTATCACACTCAAGTGCAAGTCCCACAACAGAGAGATATAACTCTCCCAATAATACTTCAGCAACTGAGTATACCTCTAAGCGCATCTCCTACACGGCTGATTGGGGCTCTCATTTTTTTCTTCCCCCTGCCTTTTAGGTCTGCCAGTGAGGTTCTCTGAGGTTCTGCAGTTCCCAGAAGACCTGTGTCTTTTTCATCAGGAGTCTCCTCAAGCCCCAGTAGCGTCTGCCGAGAGACACGGGTCTGAAACTGCCTGAGAGAGATATTGGAAAAGTCAGCATCAACTTCACTGTACCAGGGATCCATGGAAGCACGTAAAACTTCTTCCCCTGAGCGAGAAGCTTACCTGTGATGAGACTGGAGTCTGTCCAAAGGTTCAGCCTTGCGCTGCAGGCCCTCCTGGAATATCAGATCTGCTTTCTTAAAGCTTCCTCTAGCCTCCAGTACTTCTGCCCATGTGATGTAGAGCAGTGCCAGCGTTGTGCCAATTTCCTGGCTGCGGAGGTAACTGTACAGATCCAAGGGCTCATTACAGTAATTTCCCTGAAACACATGAAGTATTTCAGTAACTGGACCTCAAGGGATTCCAATGTCAGTACAAGTCTTATAGGGGCAGCTCTAAGGTCAGGACATACGCAGCACACAAGGCTACGGAAAGGGATTCAATAGAACAGCAGCAAGAAAAACCTCTGACTGTGTGCATGTCTTTGGCAATGTTATTACCAGCCCCTTGATTTTAGCCTACATAGTTGAGTCAGTCATTTCTTAGATTTATTTTTCTCTGATATAATTCAATGATTGAACCATATCATGTTAGGATTCCTAATAGTTATTTTAACTTTAGATAAAGTACAACATATTATTTCTTAGAAGTTTTGGAACTGGTAAATCAGCTCAGGAAGCTAAGCTTGGAGAAAAGCTGCTTTAAGACAAGAACAGCAAAAATTATAGCAATGGAGAGACAGGGCAAGACTAGAACACACTCAGCTTGGTTTTACTTAAACATGGAATGTGGATAAAAGACAGAAGTTAAAATAACTCATAGAACAGATATAGCATCTAAAATGGATCTTTAAGTCACTTTTCTCCTTTAATAATCAAGCTTTACCCATTCACACCAGCTTTCCAAAACAAAATTTGTGGAGTTTCTAGCTGTCAAAACTGAATGACCCTAAAAGGCCTGAAGATCCCATTGAAAATAAGGAGTGGAATTCAGGAGTAGGTATTGTTTTCAGATACTTCTGATATTTAACTAGTTGTACAACATATACTTTGTTGTTACAAAAACAGTTTAACTGTGTATAAACGGCATAATACCAAGAAAAAGCGGCACCCAAGATATTAACAAAACACTTACAAACTTGAGCCAGAGGTTAAGATAACGGGGATCTTTGTAGTATCGCTTCTGTTCATTGAGAGCTTTCACTGCCCTTTCCAGTATTGCTGCCAGATTACTCTCCTTTCCACCCTGGGGGAAGGTTTGCTCTGTCCACTTGATGTACCTACAGATGGGATATTTAAATAGGAAGTCAGTTCTGAGTAAGATACAAGGCTTCTTTTTCTGTGCAACACATGGAGATTTAGAAGAACAATCAAGCATAGTAGTGAAACACAACATAAAAAACCTGTTATAAAATCTTATCATATTAAACTAGAATATTTTTCCCAAACTTTTACAAGGATATCTGACCTTTCTATTCATTCTTTTGAAATACAAGGGAACTCACCGGTCCCAGACATCCAGTGGATCATCTCCAGAGTAAAACCGGATTTCTGATTCAAACTCCCTAGAAAAATAAACATGAATACAATAAATACAGGTGTATTGCTGTAGAAATGTTTTCTACACTGTAAACTAAGACCCTCGCTATCACTTATACCCCTTGTAGGTCTATTAATAAGGAAGAGTTAGCTTAGCTTATTTAGACTTGAGCTTTCCCCAAGACCAAGAGAATCAAAAAAAATAAGCTTTTGCACCCTGCTTCAAAATGAAAGTGCTGGGAAACGTATCATTATTTAACAAGAACAGATATGTATCTTTCCAAAGGTTATTTCCAAGAATTTCTACTACCCCAAAGCTTATATGGTCTCCTTTGACAAAATGTTTGCTCTGTTATGAAGTGTTATTAGTAGACATATATTGTGAAGTTTGATTTTTGCAAGAAACATCTCATTTAAGTATAGAAGGAGGTTGGAACACACACACAGATGGATGGAAAAGCCTGATGACAGACAACTACAGAACTATAACAGAGAGTACTACTAAGACACATCTAAGTGAGCACACTGACAGTCATCATCTGGTCTCATTCTCCAACTCCAGTGCATCATTCCATCCCTACAACACGATGACTTCTCCCTCGGGAAGCACATCAAGACAGAAACCACCTTGTAGTTTGAGTTAGACAAGAACAGTAGCTTGTGTTTAGCACAGGCTTTGAATTGATTGAGGCTTACTGGAAGGCTCTGCTCAACCATCTCATCTCACAAACATGAATCAAGCTGGACAAACCTTCTTGCAGACCCCGGCAAAATAACAATTCCATGGCTTTCTTTGAAAAACACATCCAGTTCCAGCTGACAAGTATTCACAGACCCTGTCAACTGCACAGGAAATCACCCAGATTGTTCAGCATGACAAGCACCAGTGCTTCCAATTCTGACAACACAGTACAGACTCAACTATACACACTCTTCAAAGTCAACTTGGCCTTCACAGGGCATGCAAATTTGAGGATCAGCCAATACAAATGTAACTGAACAGGTTTGGGATACAGGATACCCCCTGAAGTCATACAGTTGTCTCAATGGAATACTGTGCAAGACAGACCGAACCCAAGCTGACTTTGATCATTCAGGTGTCTGCAATCCAGAGAAAACATAGAGATACCTGCATTGTACCTGTGTTCTGATAGTAGGAATTATTTATCTCCTAAGGAACGTTCTGCTAGAATAGATTACTGTGGGAAACACAAACACATGCTCTCCTCCTTGTAACCTTTAAGCATTTTATTTAATAAGTACATTTAAAAGTACACAGCTGGATTTCCCTCGTATTTGCTGTTTGAATGCTCTGTTACAAACCTACTAATAGTAGTCTATACTGTATTTATATACTATATATAAATATATATATAAAATAAATA